TAGTTCGCGCTTCTATGGCGTTACAACTTACGAATATTTCTTGTTGGTTTTGGCATTTGACGGGTGTTGCTAACGCTTTTTTGCTGTCCATCTCCGCTCAGTTTTGCCAAATTTGTAACTAGTTTCCAATTTCCTATATGGTCAGAGAGTCGATCGTCGTCACATGGCGCGTTGCGCTCATTTGTGCGTTTCGCATGGCTTTCAATCACAATCACAATCACAATCGAATCGAATCGAATCGAATGGAGTGAGGCCCCATGGGCCTCTTGGTAATTCAATTAAAGTTGCATTGCATTGCAATTGCCTTTCAAGTGTGTTTCACTTTTGAGGCGCTTTGAAGTTGCAACTCCAGCCGCCGCCAGATTATCAATTAAAGATTTTGCATGCACGCAACATTTCTCGATATATAACTCTGCATAAAGAACTATGTCTAAGATCTCACGCCTAATTGATCTTTTACGAGTATGTCTTAAATGCTCAATTTATTCGGGCTGTCAACGTCGGCTGCCAGGGTCATGAGCAGGCAATGAACGCGTTCAAATGCACAGAATTAAAAGTCATTTATGTTACTCATACTATTCAAATATTATATATGTATATATACTTATATTGCTGTTTTCACAGCAAGCGAAAGTAGAGCCACATCTGAGAGAACAGCCGTAAACACGATTCATTTATGAAACAAGCAAAATGCAAATACAAACACAGATAGACTAGCTCTTAAAAATAGCATCTGGCGCACAAGGCCGCCTTCTATAAGTATATTTTGTATATATTAAAATGCTTTTTATACCCTGTACCGAAAGGGTAGAAGAGTATGCTAGTTTGTTATGAGTCAGTAGAGTTCGACAACATTTGAAACTGGCAAGTTTTTCTCTATGTTGTCTCTCAGTATAGTATAGTTTTGTTTCGATAAAGATTTAGATTTCGAATTATTATATTGCATCTAGTCTACCTACATCTAGTTAATGATGTTGATTCCGTAATATTTAAGAATTTATAACAATTAATTTTCCCATAAACACGAAATTTGTTAGTTATCGATCAGCAGGTAAAAAGTCTGAGCATAGTTAAGTTTCAACTGCTTGTAGAATAGATATCCATTATTTAAAACTTTCTTTACTTGCCTATTATATTATTACATTTCTAAGAAATTTGTCAGTCACACTATGCTAAGTACTATATAGTGTATAATTTGTTCTCCAATTCCAATATTGTAGTTTTTATCCCAGGCAGACCGTATATTGAATAACAAACATACATAGATTCTGCACAGTCTTGATAAAAATTAATTAATAGTGTTAAAAGCAAATGAAAAGTCATATATATTTATCAACAGTACAAAAAATAATCTAAACCCTTGCTAAGAAAGTTTCATTGCAGAAGGAATAGTCATTATTCGCGCCTTTTTTTTGATGTCTGCTAAAAATAAGTATTATTACTTTTCTATTTCTCAATTTATGACCGTTTAAATGCCAATTTATTTGCTCAGTTCTTCTTTGCATGGCCCGCAATTGTAACTGTAAATCTCGATTTACTCACCAGCTGGTGAGTGGGGTGGCTTTGTGGCACCTAACATTCTCCACTAAGCAAACTATTGACATCACCACCTCAACTGAAACCACATTAGCCGTAAAATAAAATTCCTAAATATATAAATGCTATAAGAAATTGAATCATTTCTTATACTTACAGTTTAAAAAAAAGATATATTTATAAATATTTTGATATTCTTTTCAATATTTCAACAGAACATTAATGGAATAATTTAGTCATTAGAGAAAAAATTTACTATATGTTTACAAGGGAAAAGAAATTGTGTCTTCTCTGTAGGTCAATGAAACCAAAGGTGTTGGCAAAATAGACACTCCAAATTTTTAAGTGCATAGAATATATCTGTGAAGTAGATTCCCAAAGTATCTGAAGCTTATAGTCCACACAAACATAATATATAGCATCACATTCTTGACCAGTGTTCCTGTTTAAATTCGAAATGCACACCCAACCCTACTTTACAAGCCGATATTCCTAAACATTAATTTAAATCATAGATTACATATACTTATAGGACCCTAAAAGCTAGTGTGGATTTTGTAATTAGATAATTATTTGTAAAATTTGTTTAGGAAATAATAATAATTTGAATATTAGGACGCACATAATCTTTTGTTGAAGAATATTTCCCAATACTATCAATATCAATTTGCAAATTAATATACCTCTAGTGTTTTTCAGTGTATTTTACAAAAACCACGAAACCGCCAACCACAAAGCTATGAGAATTTGTAGTCGCTATTTCCGCTTCAAAACTTTTGCCAGGCACTGTGACGCAGACGTCAGGCGATCTGATCGGGCGTAGGTGTGCATTAGAAAATTTGTCTAGTTATTATAGTTTTTATCTCATTTCAATTTCGCGTTCGCCTTGTAAAAGTTAACCTTCACGTTTTTTATTTCTTTCTTGTTGTTCTTGGCATAATGTTTTCTGCCTTAATACATTTTTTTTTAGTTTCTTTTAATGACAACGCGTCATTGAACTTCTTGAAGGCGCGTTTGCTGAAGCGTTGAGCTTTGAAAATTGAAAATGTGCTCGACAACCGATTCGATGTTTCACAATTGTGTCTAGTTCTGAGTTTTTCAAAGCATTTGAGAGCAGAGTAAAGTCAATGCTTCGGATAATGTACATTATTCATTTTATTTATTTGTTTTTATGAGCGACTTGGCATTTCCTTTCGCACGCATTGTGCGCTTTTATTTCAAATCATAGCTGTGCCTGAGCAGAATTATTAAAATGTGGCTCAGGCCGTTGCTTTTTTTTTTGGCTCATTGTTAAATATTTAAATGTGTCGGTATATTCCAAGCACATTGCGTATACGCCCACGTACTGTGACTTTGAGATTCTTTCTCTTTGTATGGCTCTAATTGTTGTTTGTTTATCTGATGTGTAAACATATGTCAGAATCTGTTCCATAATACCTGTTCTATATATACCCTAGTAGGTAAATTTTTCTCGCTGTTTATGGAACTGTTAAGATTTGGACAAATATTTTAAATATGAAAAGCTATTAAATATTAAGTATAAGAACTTTGAATATCAACAATAAACTGGAAATATAGTGATGTTGTTATTTGGAATACAAACTTAATATATAAAGAACAATATATATAAAAGATATTAATATTCTTATTTAAATATTATCTTTTATGTACAATTTAAATTTATAATAATTTATAAAATTTATAATAATTTAGTAAAGAAAATTCTTAAAAAATCTTTAAAAACATTTCCGAGCACAATTGTGAATTGATTTCTTAAAAGAAGGTGAAAAGTCCGTCGAAGAGTATAAAACTATTTTCTACAAACATCTACTAATTGATAAGCACATCAAGTTTATATGTAATTATCAAAGTTCAGCCTTAGGGCAAGTCTAATATTTTTCCCCCGCTGTGTCAGAGACTATCAAATCGTTGGCTTTTTATACTCTATATATTTTTCTTGCGACTGGTATTTCTTAAATAAATTCTTTTTAAGCAGTTTTTGATTAATACAATTGTGTTTCAGTTCCATGTGCAATTCTTTTTGAATGAAATATTTTCTGTTGGCGATTTTTGTTATTCTTTTGCTTTGAATAATTATTTTCAAAGTATACGTGTTACTTTTTTTTCTTGTATATACATTCTTTACATCCTTTAATTGTATTTTGTATTTAGTTTTTGCCATTCTTTTCCTTGGTTATATATTTTTTTAAATAAAATAACTTCTGCAAATAAAATTATTATTTAAGAAGAAACCCTTAGTGTAAACGTTTATAGTCTCGAATTATGATTAACAATGTATTGTTAAAAGTACGAATATATGCTTGTGTGTGTCAGCACTTTCTGCCCAGACTTGTTTGCATGCCGCATGCCCAAAAATGTGAAACACATTTACAGGTCATCCACATTTTCAATGTCAACGCGTTCGCCTGTCTGTGGGAGCTACTACATAGCTATACATAGCTATAGTATATAGTCCAATATGTTCGTACATATTGTTGACATCATACGGATCGTACAGTGCAGTACAGTGTATATAGAAATCAATGTAGATCGCGTAAATAAACAAACACTTTGTTTTCATGCAGCACTTTATAATTTTTCATCAATGCCGGAGCCAAGCAATTGGGTCAGACATGCAATTTAAAGGGGTCTGGGGCTGGTGGGCGGGGGAGTGCAAAATCCGAACAGTCAGTCAAAACAAACAGTAGCGCTATAGAATAATATACATGTATGCATATAGTAGTTTGTGTATTTTCATGGCTTTTTGTTAGCGTATTAATATTAATTATAATTGTTTTGGTCGCTGCAGGCGCACAGCTTGAAAAACAACAGCAGCAGGCGAATATTATAATGGAGGAGTGTGAGCTTTGAAATACGATCGACTACAGCGTCCCAAGTCAAGTGATTTGAATATTGAAATTGCTGGGTGAGCGAAGTCGACGACGACGACGACGGCGACGACGACAAAATGAAATTGAATATAATTTGTATAAATAATAATAATAAAAAAAATACACACAACTGGCAATGCGACTGTGTGTCAACCGCACTAAACACAACAACAGCTACAACAGCAAGGGGCAGACGATCGTTGGACGGATCGACGGAGCGACAGATGGACAGACGAGCGGCTATGGCTATAGTAGCAATGCGATCGCTGCTGTTTCTGTTTCTGTTACTGTTTGTTCCTCCAACCTAAGCTGCACGCCTGTTATTTGAATTTCGAAACGATCGTTTATCACTTAATTTGCGTACGATCATCAATCGAGCGAGCGAGGCAGGCAACACACGATTCGTACGATTCTGACCAAACAAAGTAAATTACAATTGCATTCTCTGCCAATTGGCAGCCTGCAGTTTGTCACTGCTGTCTGCTGATAATGGGGCTGCCTGTTTGGCATTTTAATCAATTAGCGCGCAGCAAAGAAAATATAGTAAGATAGAAATACAATCGAAGAACTTACACTTTCTAACTTTTCTGTGAGCTGTCACTTTTGTTTTTCTTTTTTGGGTTTTTGGCACTGCACACTGACCACAATTTTATTTTATTGGCCACCCACTTAATCAACAAATAAGTTGAGCGTATAATATACAGATAATGCGAGAATTCTACGCGTTTCCGTTTGTGAGCGTTTTACGCGCGATTTCCACAGTTCTCCTAAGCAGCACGCGCGAGTTTTCAGTTGCGACGCGTTTCACATACGTTGAGCGACTAAAGCAACGTTCGATTGCCGTTCGCCGATCGGCGTGTGGCGGAAAGCAGCGACAAGATCGCTGAGAAAACGTTTCACGCTCCGAGCGTTTTCGTAGATGTTTGCAAAACTCATTGGCGACGGCTGCTGTGGCTCCTATTGTTATTATTGGTTCTGCTGTTCTTGTTGTTGTAAATTGTAGCGCGCCAAAAAAAAGTTCTAAGAACATTTGGAATTGTTATTGTCGCTGCCGTTGCCGCTGCCGTTGCTTAAGCTTTTCCGCACAGCTGTGCTAAAGCTTTCTGGCCAAACGAACGGAGTGAAGTGTTCTTCTAGCCGAGATCAACAGTTAGAAGCCAAGTTGTGAACTAAGCCAAACCTGTTATTGTTCTTTCAAAGCCCACTACACTACGGGTTAAGAGAGCTATAAGTCAGTTTAAATCATTGTTTGTAACACAAAAATTGCAAAATGAAGTAAGCCCTATTCTATATAGATATGGTATCTAACGGGGCAGTCATCTGAAAAAGACTGCACGCTTCCGGAAACACTTTTGTACTAATTGAAGAAATCATCGTGAATCTAAAGCCACATATAAAATTAATATTGCTTTCCATTTCACTTTCGAAGCATTCAGTATAGTATTTTTGAGAAAACACAAAGCAGCATATAAACCACCTAATAAAGCACACTTTATAGGTCTATATAATCCTCAAACAGCTAATAAGCTACTGTACCTACGATTATATAGAAGTCTGTCTATAAAAGTCATATCGATTTGGCGGTGGCTGGTTAAGACTGAGCAGCAGATTTTATATTCAAACGTGAATATTTAATTTTTAGTGACATACCAGAAAGGTTCATAAGGTCAGTAACAATCAGCACCTTAGCATAGCTATGGCTTTCCTTTTGATTTGATATGGTAAATTGTCTCTAGATGAGGAATTGTGGCCAAGTTTTTTAAGTAAATTCACTAACATAGGGCTTCCTTTCTCTTACAATGTTTTTTTCCATACAAAATTTTATTAAGGATTGGCTGTGAATTGGTCCAGAGTTTTCCGATTTAAAGCTGGTTTTAGATAATCGCTTTAAAAATGCTTTCAATATGTTTAGCCCTGAAGATATTTACAGCGTAAAGAACTAAAGAGTATACAAACTTCGTTCCCCCGCATATAGCTTTACAAGTATTTCGTTTTGTTTTTTCTTGTGCTTTTTAAGTTGCCGGTACAAGTATCTGATGAGCCAAAGGCCAAGCAGCGTGTGGAGCGAGCGGCAAACGCCACATGAAGTTATCAAATGTTTGACAAACAATGGGCCATTGTTGACACAGAGAGCAACGAGCAGACGTCGACAATCACAAGTATCCGTATCAGTTACAACGTTTTGCACTACATGGCAAGGTGAAGAAATCATTCGGAGACATCGCTCATTACCGGAGACCCATTTCCAAGAACATTGCACACGCGAGCGGCGATCGCACTTTACTGTTTGTTGTTGGTTGCAGCCTGCTGTCTGCTGCTTGCATCAGACTTGCCTTGCCTTGCCTTCCTGGGGATGCTCGAAGCCTAGCCTACTGCTCGATGACTAGTTGCCGTTTAAGATGCGCTCCATAGCCTCCATAGATATAGATATGGGTATATGTGCGATCTGCAGACCGCTTTTGTATGGCCAATACACGCTATTTCGCCCATTTTTGGTTAGTTGACGGCAATTGCCTACGCGTTTCACCGTTAGTTAGTTGGCAACAGCGTTTGGCCAAAGTTACAACTTATTGGCAGTTCGAGCCGTTTGCCTGGGTTTGTCTTTGTTGTTTGTCGTCTTTGCTACTTTCATATTTCTTGAAATTCCTATGCTTATTTATGTCTGCTGGCTTCTTAGACGGCCCATTGTATGTAAATTTGTTGCCGCGGCGACTTATATTTTGTCTTTTGATGTGACTGTACTAACTAGAAGCTAATATTTGGCAAAGGTCAAATAGGTTTATGAACAATTTAAGCTCAAACTCTCAGATTTTCTAAGCTCATTTACCCTTAACCAATAGACTAACTATTGAAGAACATTTCTTTAAAATCTTCGATAAATATTTAAATATGAAATTATAAATACCCAGAAAAGAATTTATAACTGTGTATCCCCATCACATTATTAGATAAGCCACGAATAAATGACCAACTAATAGAACCAGTTGTAAGAACAGCGATCTTTAAGCTTGATTCCAATATTTCGGTTTTGTTAAATTCTTAAATGGATTTAAACAGGCGACAAATGTGCATATGACTTGTTTATTACTTGACATTTGAGGTCATTGTACTCGTACTTACATATTATCAGAGTTGGCACAAATTAATGCAAAAAGGCATGCCATTGGTTTTATAATATTCTATTTAAGATATTAAATGTCAATCTATTTTTCTCTCTATATTAACGTCCGCTTCTTAGATCACCGCTTGATCAATACCATGAACATTAAAGCTTCTTAGGCGCTACTAGCCAAATTTTCTTACGTACTGCGTACTGCGCTCATGTCCCTAGGTAATTGTAGCTCTACTTATTCATATAGATATATATATTTTCGTCAAACACAATAGTACATAATATCATACATATTTAGCAAGTTTGTTCGGCAATTGTCTTGGTTGCATATTATGTTTTATTTGAAAATTTATATATGTATATTACAAATTAGAATTTTGTCAATTAATAGTAAATTATAGCGAACTCTTAGCGAACATTGCAAATAAATAAATAATGGCGGAACAATATTCAAATACAATCCTTGCCGGCCTTATGTGTTAGGTTTTAGATACGTTGCTTACGACTGTTTACTTGACAATATTTGGGCTGCAAAGTTGTTGCGTTGAAGTGTGTCAATTTTTCTCTGTTTTGGCTCAATTAAATAATAGATTAGGATAAGGCTAACATTTCCTACTGCTGTTGCACCATCTCCCTGCTATACGCCTGACAACAATTTTGTGACTTTGACACCCAAGTCTGCGGCGACCGGGCGTGTTACCTTGCTAAACGCATCTCTGTTAAGGTTTAAGGTTCTTCATGTAGCTGTATGTTGGGGGCGTATTTCTATTTACTAGTTCCGGCAGCCTGATCCTCCTTCTTTTTTTGTTTTTCACGCATTACTTCAGCGTCCCTGAAAGTAACAAAGTAGCATGAATAACATTACCACTGAAAGTGTTTCTAGCAGATCATCAAAGCACTCACCTGGCCTTGCGCTGCTCAACAGTGAGATTATCAGTTCTTTTGCCTTTGCTCTGTTCCGCTTGTTTCTTTTGGTTCTTCTGGCGCGCCAGATCTCGTTGGTTGCCGCCTGTGAAAAAGCGAAAATGTAGCAAAATTGACAAACATATGATCTAATAGACGAAGGAGGTTAGGCCGCTTGTCGTTTGTTCCCTCTTCTCGAGGGACAATTTTTATCCGGCTTAATTGGTTCACCAACAACAACAACAGCCCCTCACACTTTGCACGTTGTTGGTTTTTGGAATATGTTTTCTATAGTTATTATTCACACCGTCGCAGCATTAATGAACAATAAACTACTGGCACACAAATACACACCAGCACGCGCATACACCTACACAGAACATCATCTGAAATGAACTTACGTGTCATTTTTGTTGCTACGTATTGGCAGCGTTCGTTTCCAAAGTAATGCTGCAAATTATAATTTGTTGCCTGTTACGAACTGTGTTTGCTTATTTTAGAATGACCGAGAGCTATGTTTCTATCTTTTATGAATTTCAAAGTCGACCCGACTTTGTTTTATTGTGTGCTCGTGCGCACTTCCCAAATGCGTTTGGTATATTTTGCGCCATTTTCGTGGTATTTTTTCTCTCGATAATTCACAAGTGTCATCAAATCGCAGTGCTGTAAGAAACCTTGCAATCACAGCATTTGTTTCGATTAATATACGTACATACATATGTACTGTATGTGTACATACTACATATGAAATTATGCATGGTCTTAGCAACATGTCTTCAAAAGCCTCATTGCGAAATTGCGTTTTTATCAATAGCAACTGAATTATTTGTAATTTCTTATCTTGGCTTGAGAACAATTATAATTGAATTTCTAATAATATTTTTATACAAAGTAATTTTTACACAAAATAAGTAAATGGGACGAAATTTATTTATAAAATAAGTTGACCTAATGTAGGACTTTTAACAATTTAGTTCTCTTAAATTGATCATATTTTATACATTCAATATACGGTCTGTCATAGAACAAAGGTCCAACATTGCCCGATCCTACATACATACATACTGTAACGGAAATAATTGCTTAATTTTTGGGTCCCCCTTACTGGTACCCTCCAACTGCTCAACCATACAAAAGAAGATTTAAAATAATTCCTAATTATTCTGGGTCTTTGAATCGAACTTCTGCTGCAGCCATTTGGATTTTATTATTTTACTTCTCCTAAATTCTGGAATTATTTCATACCAGTGTTTTGGGCTGCCAGACTTTTACGATTTTCACAGGGCTGGCAGCGCAGAGTGAAAAAGCGTCAAGAACAGTTACCAAACGCAAAATAAGATAAATTTGTGTGCCTGTGTCAGCAGAGGTTGGTGGCAGGAGTAGAGGTAGACCGATCTCTTGTGCCATGACCCATTTGTCAGGATTTAGTTGGAAAAATTAACATTGTTGCTTGTGTTAGAAAAGTATATAAATCGATAAAGGATTAAAGAAGCATAACATGTTTAGTTCAGTGAATTCGGCTAGTTAATTCGTTTTGTTTAAGTTATGAAATTTGCGACAATTTTATGGCTATTTGCAACCAACCACCACCTTATATAAATAAATAAATAAAGATAATGGATCCAAATTGAAACGTACACTGCAACGCAAAGTAAAAAGTTCGGTCACATTTATTTAGCTCCCTGGACCAAAGCGGTCTTCCAAATTGTGAAATATATATTGACAAGGTTGATCGTCGTATGCTGGTTCGAGTAGTCTTCCTTCCACTGTGCTTAAAACGATGTATCTCGCTTGGGGGCTCTAAGTGAATAAACACATTATTGTTCATGCAAGTAGGCTTCATACATGATTATATTAATACCTCTATTGGTTGATTTGCATGCCATAGACCAAGAGCTTCTAGATAGGCATGCAAAAGAATACGCCACGTCCAAAAATTATCCTTTCCATGCAATTTAGGAATAGCTGAGAACTCCAAACTAATATCTTTACCTCCCATTTTTGTAAGTCTTTGGCAAATACTAGCATATATTTTAATTTGTGGGCAATGCTTTTTGGGCGATATGAATGTTTTAATCATTTCCTTATCAACCAATTCACAAAAAGCTCTTACATATGTACATACTAGAGTTGGGCACGGGCCGTGTTTTTTGTCGTGGCACTTCGTGCCACGCGTGGGCCCGCGTGTTCGTGTTGTAAATTCCGATTTCGTGCGTGGCCGTGCGTGTTCGTGTTGAGCCAAAAAGGCACGACAAAACACGCACGAGGAAACACGAAAGAACACTAAAATCAGAAAACGAAGCACCCAATAGTCAACACGACTTTTCTGAAATTTTGGACACTAATAATTCAAAAAAAAAATTAAATTGGACAGGTCAAGAATGTATATTGAAATAGATGACTATATAAGTAGTGTAGTTGATCCAGGCATTTGTGTGCTAACATTCTGGAAAAAAACAACAAAATGTAAAATGCTACGGCAATTATCAAGGCATATACTCAATATCCCTGTCAGCTCTGCAACAAGCGAACGAGTTTTTTCCACTTCTGGACATATTTTAAATGAGCGACGTATTAGGCTTCTTAGCTCAAATATTGATAAGATAATCTTTCTGAATAAAAATTTGTAATGTTTATATATATATATATATTTTTTTTAATTTTTATATTTAATATATAAAAAGTTCGTGTTGGGCCGTGTTAAGAAAAATTTTCGTCGTGCGTGCGCGTGCGTGTTTCTAAAAGTTAATTTCGTGGCCGTGTCGTGTCGGGCCGAAAATAGCCGGCCCGTGCCCATCTCTAGTACATACACACACTTGTATCGCTTATTTGTTGCTGACACACTAATTGTTGCTGCAGTATTGTGTAGCAACAATTCTATATTGCTAGTGTAAGCAATAATTGAAAATTTGAGAATTTTGTATAAAATTAATTAATATTAATTACTTTAATGCCCTAAGTGCAACCATACTTGACATTTTTCCATCTGACAAATGTGTAAAAATTTATTCAAACAAATGCAATATAGATTTATAGTATACGAGTATGCGCTCAAGCATAAAGTGTTGGTCGAATGTCAACACAGAAATGCGCAGCTAGCGATAAAAACTTTTACTATTATACTATTAAGTTGTTAGAATCAAATTAAAATTGAATGCATAGGAAAAAAGGAAATTATCGCAGCACACAACAATGAAAAACCAAACTTTACTAAATTATCGCAGCAAAGTTGTTGACAGCAAGTCAATTTATTTAATATGCTATGACCATAGTTTGGCTGGTTGGTATGCGTAATATATTGTACTATATATACCCTTTATTCCAGCAAAGAGAAGTTGATTAAGTTTGTGAAAGCCCCAAGGGGATTGTTATTGCGATACAAAGGGTACCATCGCTAGCTCTGCCTGACAAAATATCCCTTTAAGTTCTGCAACTACTAAGCTTTCAAAGTATTTATAATGTATAAAGTATTTATAATGTATGTATATGTTTTGCACAATAATTATCCCTCATGTATTTATATAGAAAATGCTTATTTATGACAAGTTTTCTATTTACTTTCAATTGCTCAAAGCCACAATAGGTAGACTTTTTGATTGTATTGTGTCTCTCTAGGGTATTTCGTAGTCGGCTGAGTGTGCAGAGTAAAGCTTTTGTAATGCAGCTCGGTCAATTCCTGTGCGATTTAAGAAGTGAATGCGAGCAATTTTATTCAGTTAGTCGAGCGTGGTGTCTGCTCCACAATTTACCTTAACCCATATAGACCGAAATAGCGTCGTCTGTGGGTCAAACGCACTGCGAGCTCTATACGTATATAGTAGCAGGCGCTTGGGTCGGCCGATTCAGTTGAGACTGGCAATGTCCGCGCTAGGTTGCCCGAAGTTGGCGCTCCTCCTCCTGCTGCTGCCTCTCCTCAATGATGGAGGACAGTGTTCGAGGCATGTGAGCAAACGTTTTACATTTGGTGCCGCCGCGAATAGTGAGAATAGTGCGAATAGTGGAATTAGTCAGAATAATGGATATACACCTGTGGATATACCTCTGCCAGCTGTTGATGCCAATCTGGCGAATCATACAAGTGAGTAATGCACTAATTAGGAATTCAAGAACCCAAATTCCAGGTGTTTGGAAAATTATTTTCCTTTTATTCATTTAGTTTTTTCAGGGACTGTACTCATTATAAGTGTTATTAAAAAAATTACAAAATAATGATTATTTTTTATTCATTCACTAAACATTTAATAATTATTTTTGAGTGTTTTTTTAAATATTAACTAATAATTATTAATTTTGAGCAAAAAAAAAAACTTAGAAAATAATGATTATGCTTCGAGTGATATTTTTTTGATCAGAAATAATAATTATTGGTTAATATTTAAAATAACACTCAAAAATAATTATTGAAATTTTAGTGAATGAATAAAAATTAAGAAATATAAATCATGGTGAAAATGGATAGAAATTCTTTAAAAAAGAAACTTACTATAAGTGAATGATTTTTTCGTTTAAAAATAACAAAACAATCATTATTTGCAGTCCCTGGTTTTTTTCTCAAATTTAGATCGAAACGATCGTAGTTTTTAGAATGAAATCAGCAGGTCGTAGCGATTTGTGTTTTGTGATTTCGATTGACATTTTTACTTATCCGAATCCCAAATCACAGCGGTCAGCAGGGGAAATCAGTAATGATCGATCACAAACGACCTGCTGAACGCGCTCTATGTCTGAATCCAGAAACGAAATTTTCAAAAATGCGTCTATTCTATTCGTAAACCAAAAGAAAACTCATGTGCGAAAAATACTTTCAAGGCGGAAAGGGCAAAAGAATCAAGCATAATCGGTCTATAATTATTCATCCTACTTAATGTATATTTCGCTGATTGTAGGGCTAGTTATTTGCCTCAGTTTTATTTAAGGGCATTATCGTTTCGGAGCATAGAACTTAACCGTCGATTCTTTGCAGTACTGGCCCGCCAGCTGATTGTTGGCACTTTGGTGCCCCCGCTGCTGGTTGCGCCCACGGCCAGTTATTGCCAATGTGTGCCGCCGGGGTCTTGCGCCAATCCGGTGCCCACACTGCCCACCGATGGCAGTGGCCAGCTGGATATACGAATTGTGAACAGCGGCAGCTATGTGAGTATAAAGTATTTGCGTTCTATGATGCTGAGGCTAATCGCTGTGCACAATCGGCAGCCCACGGCTACGCCCACAGTGACGCCGTTAGTCTGCAGCTATGGTCTGGTGGCGTGCTGCCAGGCGGGCAGCTATCAGTGCGGTCGTCGTTGGCCTCCACCGCCGGGAGCAGCAGCGGCGGCCGTTGGACAGGCAACCTTTGGGGAGTTCCCCTGGCAGGTGGCGTTGCTTACCCTAGCGGATGTTTATTTGGGCGGTGGCGCGCTGATTACGGCTCAACATGTTCTGACGGCCGCTCACAAGGTCTACAACTTGCCGTAAGTGAAATAGAAATGAGATCGAGTCTGGTAATGGAATTTGTTGTGTTCCGCAGTATTAGCAGTTTCAAGGCGCGCCTGGGCGAATGGGATGCAGCCAGTGTTACGGAGCCGGTGCCCGCCCAGGATGTGACCATTGCCAGTGTCTTCATTCATCCGGCCTTCAATCCGAACAATTTACAAAACAATGTCGCCATTCTGAAATTGTCAACGGCCATCTCCTTGACCAGGTAGGTTCTTTGCTTACCGCTTATCCTTAGCTGGAGTATAGTGTCAAATGATTCGTGCAGCAAGTCTACTGTGGGTACCATTTGTCTGCCCACCACAACTTTTGTGGGTCAACGTTGCTATGTGGCCGGCTGGGGAAAGAATGATTTCGGGCCGACAGGCGCTTATCAAGCGATAGCCAGAAAGGTGGACGTCCCGCTAATTACAAATGCCAATTGTCAGACGGCGTTGCGTGCCACACGGCTGGGCTCCAGCTTTGTGCTCAGCGATACGAGCTTCATTTGTGCCGGCGGCGAGGCGGGCAAGGATGCCTGCACGGTAAGTGCTTGATGATGCTCGATTAGTGGCGATTGGATTTCCTTTCCATTTACCTTCCCACAGGGCGACGGCGGCTCTCCCCTCGTTTGCTCCAACAACAATGTATGGTATGTGGTCGGGTTGGTGGCGTGGGGCATTGGCTGTGCGCAGGCGGGAGTGCCAGGCGTCTATGTGAACGTAGCCTCATTTCTGCCCTGGATACAGACAACTTTAACACTCTAATGGAACGACTTTATATTTTATAGGAAAATAAAACCAAACAAGTGTTTCAATAAACCCATAATTTTTTGTAGACGTCTGTCAGAAAACTCTAACCACACCTGTCCGTCGGATAAAGATTTATCGGACGCATTTATTAGCTTTATGAAATACTTTATGAAAAAGTGCCGAGAGAATTGTTTAAAAAAGGAAAATAATAAATCTCAGATGATGCTAAATGCAGGAATTGGGAATGTCGAAACAAAAGGTGGTTTTTATTGAATGCTGACAGAATAAAGATCGGAAAGGCAAAAAGAACGATCTTCCGCAAGTCGGTGTCGAAACCTCGTAAGCTACGCATTTAACTAAGCCCTTTTTGAGTAAAGTTACTTATTAAAGTACCTAATTGAATCAAAAAACATTCTTAAACTACATCTAATCAAATCTATATAATACTAATAGTCGTCTCTTAGTCATTTCAATTACTACGAAAAACACAAGAGTCCACATTTTAAACACAATTTGGGCGCCGGAAACATTTTTAAACTTCAACAAATTACAACAAATATTTCAACAAAAAAAAAAAGAATTAAAAATTAATATTTCAAAACAAATTAATATGCACTATAAATAACAAGAAAGGAATGCTAAAGTCGAGCAGGCTCAACTCTTAAATACCCTGTACCACCCCACAAAAAAGTAATTTAATTAATTAATTAATTAAATTAAATTAATTAACTAAATTAATTTAATTAATTAACTAAAAATTAACTAATTAAATATAAAATATTCCATGCATGCATACATACATTTACATTTACATCAGAATCGTGCCTTATGCGTGTTTGTGTACTTGTACATATGTATGTATGTGTGCATTGGGCCTGGTTATATGGCTATAACTTTCTTTCCGATCATTCTATCATAATGAAACTTGGTATACGGATATATAATTACTAACCTAATGTGACTACCAAATTCAAAATTCCAAGAATTACGGGAGTTATAGAAAATCAGTAATAGGGGGGGAGTGGGGGGGCGGATCAGAAAAAATTAACAAACTCGTCCTTTCTCGGTCTCAGGAGAATCTGTATACCAAGTTTGGTTATTCTAGCTCTTATACTTTCGGAGATCCTTGCGTTCATACAGACAGACAGACAGACGGACAGACAGACGGACAGACGGACATGGCTATATCGACTCGGCTTGTCATGCTGATCAAGAATATATATACTTTGTGGGGTCTACCAAGCCTCCTTCTGTGTGTTCCATGTGCACTCGCACAAAACTAATATACCCTTGTACCCTTTGGGTACAGGGTATAAAAAAAAAAAAAAAATTGAGTATTGTTATTTTTGGAGTCAGTGTCAGTCGGTTTTGTTATTGAACAAAATAATGATTTAATCAATGAAAAAAATCCCTATTTATTAAGTACTATTAGTCGGCAATCCAAAATTTGCGGCATTTCGAACATGGCTGAAAATTAATCATGAAGGTTATACTGCAGTATAAATATATATTTTTTAATTCAATAAAAAACTAGATCTGACGAATTAAAAAATCTAGCAACCAACAAATGGCAAGCACCGTGGAATTTGAAATGAATGGAGACAATGACATTTTGTATACGATTTTAGACATGCTTGCTTTAGTGTATGTTCGCAGCAAGTTAAAGTTATAAAATACATTATTGTGTATACGACCCGTGGCCATTAAGAACTTATAGAAATAACGCCAGCTACTGACGAACAAAATGGCGCAATTGCGTGTACAAACACACACACCAGCACTCACTTGCATAAAAGCAGCCAACAGGTTGCTTAAGCAGATTCAACACACACACACACACACACACACATACATAAAGCAACACAATTTAAAAACATAACATGTTGTTATAACGATGGGAGAGCCCAGCGAAACAATTGTTTGCATTTCACCGCACACACACACACACATGCACATGCACTCTCTCACACATACTCTTGCGGAATTCTGTAGACACCAGCGTCCACATTCGCGCCTTTTCATGCTCACTTAACTCGCTCGCGCTGACTCATAAACAAAGCACAACACAGACACAAACACAAACACACACACACAGAGACACTCAGCTTTGCTCATTTCCAGTACAGCACGGTGCTGTGCAGTGCAACGGGCGGAAAGGGGTAGGCCGGGTAGGGGGTCTATAAAGTCAAATGGGATTTCTCACTTGGCTAGTTCTGTGCCAGCCACAAATTGTATGCAAATTTAATGGCTTACATTCGGCGCTGCTGCAATTGCGCGTCGGCCAATTGTAGAATATTTCATTTTATAGGCCTGACATTTGCATATTTTGCAGGTGTGTCGGCTTGTTTTTGTCAAGAGAATTGCACTTTCATGGCTGCTTTTTTTTTAAATTTATTTTCTTCAATTTTGTGTAATTTGTCAATTTTTGCGCCATGCAATTTTTTGTTGCATAACGACAGGCGCAAGTTAGAAGTACTCTTTAATTTCTCGGGAGTGTACGTCGCCTGTCAGCAATCTGCAGTTAATGCAGAACGGAAGCCGGAAATGTTTGTTGTCGCACCGACCAAAATGGAAATGCAAAAAGCGAAGCGGGGGCTGGCAAGTAGAAAGAATAAGAACTGAAAACAGCAACTCATTTAGCCAAACGTAAGTGGCAGACCCTGGCTTCCTGCCAACCAACAACAACAACAGCTGTAACAGCAAAAGCCATAATAACAGCACTAACTACAACAACGCTAGCCCCAACAACAGCAATATGAATGACTAAAATACACTCAAAACTTACTCATTCATCGGTTTGCACTCAACGAGTGACGACCATGTCGAAAATAAGCGAGCAGTGTTGCCAACTTCTAAAGCACCAACAAAAGGCTAAAATATATAGCGAAAGTAAAACTGGCACAACAACTGCTGATAGTTTTAGGATCGTGATAATATTTCAGGCTCATTTACTTACTTACTATTTATTTTAATGTATTAGTTACAATCATTTTAATTCGCTTTTGTAAATTTACTTTCGTACAGCTCAGTAAAGAGTGGGAATAAGTTGAGTTGGAATATAAACAAGAAAATCAAATGAGTGAAATCCAGCAGTGCTGCCAACTTCTAAAGGACAAAAAAAGCTAAAGAACATGAGTGATGGAAAGAAATGTTACAGTAAATAGTAATGTTTTTCATCACCTTTTATGTTCAACTTGAACATTTGAGCGATTATTAGTTTTTGATTTATTATTAATATTCATCTAATTAGCGTAAAACCAGCTGTGTAAGCAACACTGTGCACGAGTGGAAGTCAACTCAGTGCCGAGACACTTTGTAGCTGCCTGCTGGCTGGCTGCCTGTTTAGTCCGTCCTCAGCTTTCGTGGAGAACAGACGCGAACGCGCTCGGCAAAGCAGTACAATTTGTCAAGCAGTTGAGTGAAATTGTGAACAGAAGCAGTAGCGGCGGCAACAACAATATATTAGCGAGCAGCAGCAGCAGATAGTTGTTGGCTTGAAATTAGCCAAGTCAAAAGCCAATGGCAACAAACACGACGATGAGGATGACGAGGACGACTCGTCGCTAGCATGCCTTTGTAGAGTGCTCGGTCGGTCTCATTGTCAGTGTTTTGGTTTTAGTTTCAGTTTCAGTTTTAGTTTCCGCCTCGACTAGCGGCGACGGTGGTGGACGGCAGTGGAAGAAAGTGAAATTGCGAAGCGAAGTGAGGTTCGTTTCAGTGTTGTGTAATCGCTTTTGCAATTGCAGTGCCGAATACAAATTCCTGATCGTGTGTGGCAGGCTTTTTCTTTGAATGTCTTTGAAGTTGAAGCTTTGAAGTGACACGCGCTTACGTACTTATATTGTCTTGCATTAGTCGCCCGCTTCTCCTGCTCTGCTCGGCGAGAGTGTATGTGTGCGTGTGTGTGTGTGTGTGTGTGTGTGACACACTTTGTTGTTATTGAGCCGTTGTTATTGTTGTTGCCGTCTGTTCGTGTGTGCGCCTTATTTAATGTCCTTGATGCCGTCGCTGTGTCTGATTGCCCGTTACCATTTCCTGAACACTCGCGTAACGCTGTCCGTTTAAAAATCGACAGCAACAACTATAACAAAAACCAAAACAACAACAACAACAAAAGCTTCAAGTTGTTGGTCAATGAGAGAACATGTAGCCTGCTTTTAGGCAACTTTCAATTACTCATTTATTTCAAATGTCGACTTTATTTGTTTCAGTGAACCTTCGAGCAAATCAAATATAAAAATATAATGAAAACAACAGCAACATCAACATAAATAATACATCAAAAAGAATTACAATTAAGCAAATTAAACTTCAACTTCAACGCCTGGGCAACTCTTTGGCAGCTTTTGCTTGCGGTTCGTAATAAAAACAGAAGAAAAAAAAAACACTGATATAAAGGAGGAGTCTGAATATAATACAACTTTTACTTTTGGGTTTACGTCATTTTTGCTTGCGCTTAGTTCCTTAGACTTCTCCACAAGCTGTGGGGGAGCCTTCCTTCTTATGCTACATACTATACATATATGAATTCATGTGTCGTCGTTGCGTGTTTCTCCATCGCCTGTGCCTGTGACTGTGCCTGAGTTCGTGTTCATGTTCGTTTTGCGTCCATGTCCATCCCATTTGTCTGACAAGCCGCGGACTTAAATGCATGCTCGAGCAGATGAGACATACATACCTGTGTATACTATATACATGTATAGTATATACTACTCATATGTTTACATTGTCCAGCTGAGTAACTTACATATATATTTTAATATTAACTAATCCAGCCGCTTGTGAAATTATACGTAAGTGTTCCGTTCAGTTGAGCTCATAAATATTTCATACCCATTACATACATATAAAAAATATAGAAATATAGCATGTACAGACACACTTACTACATATTTCTTCATCAAACACATTCCAGACACGTCAGCTTTTGTGTAAGAATTCGCTTGACTTTTACAAATGATTGCATGGAACATAGAAAGTTTGTTTACTACAAAATAATAATTTCATAAGCCAAGAGTTCGTAAAAATGCCACAACATAATAATTCTTTGCTGTTTCTTTTGAGTGAATTTCAACTTAAACATTGTACTTTAAAGTGCATATATCTTTGAGCGATTAGAAATTCAAGTCATTTATTTAACTAAATAGTGCATGTTATTCCAATTATTTTTTATTTTTTAAGCTTTTATAATAATA